TTTTTTTAAATCTTCTAGGTATCGTACTATGCTTTTGGCTGGGAAAAGCTACACAACTAATTTTCCCCAAAGGTGCCTTTTCAACTGGACTTTCTTGTTTTTCTTTGAAGATGTTTCGCTTCTCATCCAAGAAGCTTCTTCAGCTCTGACTGGATGGCGGGGAATGGAAAGATTTATATACTTTGGAGATAGCTGGTTATTTGCATCTTTTTAGAGAGTCCTTGAGGCCACTTGGAGGCTTATTTGTGTCCTCAAGGTCACCTGAGTGGTGCAAATGGGTGTGGAGCCTTCTTGGAACTGCTGAAAGGACTATGTTGTAGACTGGAGATAGGGGATGTCATATCCCTTCCCCTCTGTTCAGAGAGGACTGTTCAATTTTGACACAGATGGCCTTGAGGACACAGACAAACCTCCAGGAGGCCTCAACGACTCTCTTAAAGAATGCAAATGACCAGCAGTCTGCAAGGAATATAAATCCTTCCATTTCCCACCATCCAGTCAGACCCGAAGAAGCTTCTTGGATGAGAAGCGAAACATCTTCAAAGAGAAACACAAGAAAGTCCAATTGCCTCCTGAAAAAGCATCTTTGGGATAACCCTGACCTGGATGACTGAGAATCCCCAAAGATATTTAAGTAAATTTCCCATATGTTCATTCCCAAAAGGAAACCCTAAGCCAAGATCTCACTACAGGAGATCATCAGCATCTTAGTTCTTCTACCTACCAATGTCCTAGGAACAGATTTCTGGAGCTCTGAGTCATGTGATCTAGAAAAACCAATCCTGAAGCTCATTCTGGTGGTTCAGTCTGAGTTAGTTGTTTTCCAGAGAAGCTTCTAAACCTCTAGAACAGTGGTTTTCAACCTGTGAGTCGGGACCCCATTTGGGGTCGAACGACCATTTCACGGGGGTCGTCAAACAACGCAGTCTGCCATTCCCCCCCCCCTTTTCCTTAGCTGTGCTACTCCCTTTCCTTCTATTGGCTTTTGAAAGCCAATAGAATAGACTCTCTTGAATAGAGTCTAATTCTATTGGCTTTCAAAAGCCAATAGGAATTGTCCAGGCTGTCTCTGCCCTGCTGAGCCCGCCCAAAGTCCCATTCTGCAAACGGTGCTGCACCAGTTGAGTAGTCCTCGACTTATGACCAGTTGAGTAGTCCTTGACTTACGACCGGTTGGGGGTCGCGGCATTAAAAAGGTTGAGAACCACTGCTCTAAAATCTTCTATGGCTGATGCTTTCCTTCTGGTGTCTGACCTCCAAACTGTCTCCTCATTACAGGCAGTCCTTGACTTAAAACTATCCATTTAGTGACTGCTCGAAGTCACAATGGCACTGAAACAAGTGACTTATGTCCATTTTTCACCGTTATGACCGTTTCAACTCCCCCAGGGTCACGTGATCAAAATCCAGATGCTTGGCAACTGACTCATATTTATGAGGGTTGCGGTGTCCCGGGGTCACGTGATCCCCTTTTGCGACCTTCTGACAAACAAAGTCATTGGGAGCCAGATTCACTTAACAACCATGTTAGTCACTTAGCCCCTGTGGTAATTCACTTAACAACTGTGACAAGAAAAGTCACAAAACGGGGCAAAAGTCACTGAACAACTATCCTCGCTTCGGAACAGAACTTCTGGGCTCAGTTGTGTTCCTAAGTCAAGGGCCACTGTAATTCTCTTGTATATTTCGCCCTGTTTTTCTCCAACTGGCATGTGGTCTAGCACTGTGAGAATCACCCAGCCTGTGGGAATGATCAGGGTGAAGATGAAGACCAATCTTTTATTGGGATCCAGTTTGACTCTTCAACTAGGTCATGCATGCTATGTTGACCTGTCTTCTTTGCCATTGGCAACTGTACATTTAGATAAGAAATCTGCTCTCCAAATGGATTACAGACTGGATTACAATTTCTAACAGAGAGGTTGGCAACTGTAGATCAAAATACTCCCAAAATTGCAAATTCTCCATCCAGAGCTGTACCTGTTGTCTTCTAGTCCTTGTCTATTGCTACAGTGTCTAGTTGATTGGCCAGTACTTGCTTGTCTGTCTGGATCTGGAAGTCCAGAGACCCACAAGGTTCTGAGAGTTCTCCCATCTGAACTCAGACTACATTCTGTGCAGATGTTTCGGTACACAGTGCCAGCTAGTTGGTTGCACCATTCAGTGTATGCCAGGGGTGTCAAACTGCCGGCCCGTGGCCCAGATGCATCACCCAGAAGCCATGCCCACCCCATTGCTGTTTGACATGTCTGGTGTATGCTGTTTCTGCATGCATCTTATACCTTACCACTACGTCATCTCAGATCAATTAAAGCAACAGAGGATGCAGGAATCAATAGAGTAGTCCTGGAGTAAATTCCAGAAAAGGACAAAGAGAATTCTCAGGAATAATCAAGAACAATTAGAGGCAGGGGTGGGATTCAGCCGGTTCGCACCACTTTGGCAGAACCGGTAGTTAATTTTTTGTTGCCCAGGCCCAGAATGGACTTCTGGAAGTGGCATCCATGCAGAGAACCGGTTGTTCACCTATTTGAATCCCACCATTGATTAGAGGTGTCTTCTTCAACAGAAATTCAGCAAAACATCACTAGCACTCAGGATGTTACCTAGACCACATGAAGTGTTGGTACCACTTTACAACATCTTGGTAAGACCACACTTGGAATACTACATCCAGTTTTGGTCACCATGATAAAAAAAAAATGTTGAGACTCTAGAAAGAGTACAGAGAAAAGGAACAAAGATGATTAGGGGGCTGGAGGCTAAAACATATGAAGAATAGTTGCAGGAATTGGGTATGTCCAGTTAATGAAAAGGAGTAGGAAAGACATGATAGCAATCTTACAGTATTTGAGGGGCCATCACAAAGAAGAGGGGATCACCCGATTCTCCAAGGCACCTGAAGCCATGGATGGAAACTAATCAAGGAGAGAAGCAACCTAGATTTAACGAAAAATTTCCTGACAGAACAATTCATCAGTGGAACCACTTGCCTCCAGCATTTATGGGTGCCCCCAACACTCGGGGTTTTTAAGAAGAGATTAGACAATTATTTATCTAAAATGGAACAGAGTTTCCTGCCTGAACAGGTGGTTGGACTAGAAGACCTCTAAAGTCTCTTCCAACTCTATGTTATTCTGAAATGACTGCAAGAAAACAACCAAGCTCAGAGAGCATTAAAGACCTGTCAAGGACCCAAAGCTACAAATATTCTCCTTTGTTGGTACTCAACAAAAGAGTTACATTGCTCACTTGCAAGACACAAGGAGGAATTCTTTCTCCCCACACTAATTTTCTATATCCTCTTGAGGTACCTTTGAGATTTTACCATCCCTTAGGCTTTGGCAAAATGATTTTCTTGGGCATCAGTCACTGTTTCTGGATTTCCTTCTCTGTTTGTTCCTGATTTGCAGGAATTTTGTATGGCTAGTCTCGAGAAAAGTAGGACTAGGGGTGACATGATAGCAGTATTCCAGTATTTGAAGGGCTGCCACGAAGATGAGGGGGTCAACTTTCCAAAGCTTCAGAAGGCGAGACAAGAAATAATGGAGGGAAACTAATCAAGGAGAGAAGCAACCTGGAATTAAGGAGAAACTTTCTGACAGTGAGAACAATTAAGCAATGGAAAACTTGCCTTTAGAAGTTGTAGGTGCTTCATCACTGGGGGTTTTTAAGAAGAGACTGGACAGCCACCTGTCTGAAATGGTGTAGGATCTCCTGCTTAAGCAGGGTGTTATGGTTCCGACATATAAAACTCTTCAAAGAACTTTGAGGCATTGTTTACCTTAAAGAATCTTTATTTGAGCTGCAACACATCGGCACTTACATAGTCCAAGCCAAGATCTGACTTTCCTTCCCCTGAGCACAGAGTATCAAAGCACAAGTCCCTCCCACAACTAACTGTCATAAATCACATTCTCCAATTAGTCTGAAATGCTGGCTTTCCGCCCAGTTCTTTCTCCCACCATGCCTTTAACATCTCTTACTATGATATTGTTATGTCTAACTAACTCCCATCACATTCCTCCCCCTCTCCCAGCACATCTAATTCTAAGTGTGAAGCATAAGAAAGAAAAAGGTTTCATCTCCACATGTTGTCAAAGCAAGAACATCCAATGTTAGCAGCATTGACACAGGGGGTTGGACGAGAAGACCTCCAAGGTCCCTTCCAGCTTTATTCTGTTTTATTTATTTATTTACAAAAAATGGATTTTGAAATTCTTCCTTCACGGCCTAGTTCTGATCACTGGAAAATGAGCGTTTCTTGTTTACAAGATCCATCCATGGTTGAGTTTCAGAAACGGACCGATTTGTGTGGTTTTTAAGCATCTCTTCCTTTACAAAAAAAAAAAAGCAAATTTATTCCACACCGTCTCTTCATTGGTTTGCGAATGATTTATCTTTTGAGCTGGCAAGACAAATTGGCATGCACTTTTAATAGAGTTCTCTTCAAATTTATGCAGTTTTGATAACCACGCGTCCTTTTGTACAGGCGCCGTTGTGCATAGCTTTTCCTAGCTAATCTTTAAAAACTAGAATGGTTTTGTAGAAACTGCATAAAGTGATTGTTTTACTAGTATCAGTTGAAGGAGTGCAAAGTGGGTTAGTTCTTTTATATGTGTGTGTGTGTGTGTGTGTGTGTGTGTTATTGTTCTTAGCTGCCTTTATAATTAAGCTCAAAACAGTATCCCATTTATCTACATGGCTTTTATTCATGATGACGACTAAGAGCAGCATCTAAATGTATTTAGTTCTGCACTGTGATCTACCGGTATCTAAGTGACAAACACCGGTAATTTTTTCTGCCGCGCAATGAAATATAATTAAAGGACAATAATCTTTTAGCTTGGTTGCATATCCCTTTCTACATATATATTCGTAAGATAAAGTGGGCCACACTGGAAACACAAACGAGAATTTATAGGCGTATAATTCATGGGCCTAATACAGTTAAAGTAACCATGAATCAAACTCTGTTTACAGGATTATGGCACACTGGGAAGCGCACAATTCAGTTTTGCATATGAAAAGTAAGCATATAAACGTACATATTTATCCTTGTTAGGCTGTGAAATGTTCTCTTGCCAAAAGTGACAAAATATGTATTTCATAGTTAATGGTGCCCATTCATTCTTTTCCTAAGTCTCAGCGGGCTCAAAGCCCTAAATCGTATATCAGTTCTGTATTCCGGGAAAATATTCCAATGCTTTGTAAATTAGGGAATGGTAATGGCAGAAAATTACTGCTTTTTGTAAAATACAAGCACATGGCCGTGGGGAAGGAACAGAGTGGTGAGGAGAACAATGGTAAAGACTTTATAAAGCAGTACTAACACTTCACATGATCTTGATTCTATCCCTCTGTTAATGCAGCCTAGCACTGTGTTGGCTTTTTTGGTAGCTGCAGCACACGGCTAGGCTCATATTTAAGGGATTGTCCACTAGGACTCCAAGATCCCACTCACATCCATGTAGGATGGATGTTGCATAACACTGTCACGTGGTGAACAACTTTGCCATTCTTACTTCACCACAGCATCTGAAGTCTGTTGAGGGACTCAGCAGTATATAAGAGATATTCCTTGGGCTAAAGAGTATCTTTTGACAATCCCCGATTAAAATGTAAATTTCTGGTTTTTAATTTAGGTTTGACGTATCCCGTGTGGTCATTTTTTTCTTTTAATGTACAAGAATAGAGGTGTAGAGTTAAGATCAAGCAGCCAAAAGTTACCTGTGAATTAGTTTGTGATGTATTATGGATGCATGGATCTTCAACGAAGAACTTATCTTACGTGAAGCTTCAGAAAAGAACGCCAAAAAAGGTAAATTCCTTGGAAACTAAAACCTATGAACTGGGTATGTTTAGCCTAAAGGCTGAGGAGAGACTTGATAGGAGTCTTCAAATACTTGAAGGGTTTTTGACAGAGAAGAAGGAGCAAGTTTGTTTTGAATGGCTCCGGAGAGTAAGATAAGAACCAATGAGTATCCTCCTTGCTCTCAAGAGCTATTTACTGAGAGAAAACCACAACTCAAACGAAGGAGGAATTTCTTGATGGTGTGAGTTACGAACAGAATCTTGAGGGTTACATCTCTGGAGATTTTCAACTCAAGTTGAAAACTTCAACTCAAGCCATTTGTTCTGGACGATCCAAGGATTTCTACTCTGGACACGAGATTGGATAGAAGATCTCCAATGTCCTTTCCAACTCTATGGCTCCCATAAAACAACCAACTCACAACTCAGATAGATGATAGATCTATAGATCTATAGATAGATAGATAGATAGATAGATAGATAGATAGATAGATAGATAGATAGATAGATAGATAGATAGAATGTAGCACATAAATAAAACATCAGATTGCACTGGATCATACACACACACACACACACACACACACACACATATATATATATATATACATATACATATACCCCCACTGGCAGTTAAAAGGAATAAACAGCTAAGACCACACATTGCTGCTCAAAGCACGAAGCTGAAAGCACCAGCCTGAAGATGACGAATGGGACTTCGTCGAAACATCGCCAAGACACTTCCAATTTTACATGGGAGAAAACCCGAACAACCAAAGACCTACATATACATATACATATATACATACATACATACATACATACATACATACATACATACATACAGTATTTACCAAAGAAAACTGTGCTTGGATTTAATTGAATCTAGGAAGCAGTTTTCTCTTCAGTATTATCAGAATATTTGGAGGTCTTTGAGACTTTGAAAATCTGCAAAGAAACAAGGGTTGGAAACACAAAAGCAGCCTTCTCAAGGGAGAACAGCCACCTGTCGCTAGGTCCATGCTGCCAATTCTTCACAAATTAAGGACACAAAAATGTTCCATGCTGGATGGAACCGAGCTTCATTTAATCCAGCATTCTGTTGAAAGAATGGGCGAGCAGATGTTCACCACCGAGGCTCCTCTTCATGAATTTGCCCAGTCCGTAATTTAAAAGTGCCACAGTCATACCTAAACAGCAATGTTTTCCATAAATTAATTACGCATCATTTACATATATCAATTGAAATTGCTATTTTCTCTTGAATGCCTTTTTCTCCCCATTTTCATTCTTGAGCTTATTGACCTACCATGGGCTGGGATATATAGGTATTCCTTGACTTTTGACTACAATTGAGCCCCAAAATTTCTGTTGCTAAATGAGACTTTTGTTAAGTGACAGCGTAGGACAAGATTTAATGGGTGGAAGAACTTTAAAGAGAGATTCAATCTAGAAGTGAGGAGAAATTTCCTGACAGTTAGAATAATTGATCAGTGGAACAACCTGCCTCCAGAAGTTGTGAATGCTCCAACACTGGAAGTTTTTCAGAAGAGATTGGACAATTATTTGTCTGAAATGGTATAAGGTTTCTTGCCTGAGCAAGGGGTTGGACTAGAAGACCTCCAAGGTCCCTTCCAGCTATTCTATTCTATTCTATTCTATTCTATTCTATTCTATTCTATTCTATTCTATTCTACTACTCTAATTCTATTCTATTCTATTCCATATATTCTATTCTATTCTATTCTATTCTATTCTATTCTATTCTATTCTATTCTATTCTATTCTATTCTACTCTATTCTATTACTCTAATTCTATTCTATTCCATTACTCTAATTCTATTCTATTCTATTCTATTCTATTCTATTCTATTCTATTCTATTCTATTCTATTCTATTCTATTCTATTCTATTCTATTCTAATGACAACAAGAGATAGCAACTCATTAGTAGGGCAACAAAAGTTTGGCACATTCTACCCAAATATTTCTTTTCAAGACTTAGACGGCTGCTCAACTCAAAATGTTCTGATCTTTATTCAGAAAATTAGAAAAAAAAATGGTCTAAGCAAAAAACGCATCCTATATGCTTTGTCCTTTCAACACCCCTATTGGCACAATAATTTTCCGTTTATCAAATTCAATGGATAAAATTTGCACCTCTTTTGCTTTGGTGAGTTTCCCTGCACTGTGTTAACTGGCTTCCCATAACAGCAGCATTAATATTCCAAAGTCCACTTGGACTTGGCAGGGTCGGGTTCTGTGTGATCCTCAAAGACCTCAAGTGTAATTTGCGATGGAATTGCATAATCTCTGGGATTTCCTGAAAGCTGAAATTGCAGGCAGATTACTTCGCCCCGTTTCAGCAAATTCCTCAGGAACTGTTTTGGGATTAAGCCACGGATTAAAGTTTAAAGCCAGCTCAAGGAAACATGCTCGGTGTTTGAATTAGCTGTGTTTGACCACTGTCATCCCTAATAGCCTAAGAACAGAATGCATTACAGGCACTCCTTGACATTACAACCGTTCGTTTAGTAACGGAAGTTAAAAATGGCACTGGAAAAAAAACGTAAATCGTGAGCAGTTTTCCTACATCTGACTGTTGCAGCATCCCTGGGGTCACATGATCAAAATTTGCACGCTTGGCAATGGAATGTATTTAGGATGCTTGCAGTGTCCCCAGGTCGTGTGAACCCTCTTGTGACAAGCAAAGTCAATGGGGCAGCCAGATTTACTGTGCCTGGTGGTGCTCAGGTAGGAAACCCTATACCAGGAGTAGGCAACCTTGGCTCTTTTATGACTCGTGGACTTCAACTTCAGGTGCTTTGGAGAATAGCTTGGCTCCCTCTTCTTTATGGAAGCCCCTGAGATATTGGAAGACTGCTATCATGTCCCCCCTCGTCCTTCTCTTCATTAAACTAGACATACCCAATTCCAGCAACCGTTCCTTATATGTTTTAGCCTTCAGTCTCCTAATCATCTTTTTTGCTCTTCTCTGTACTCTTTCTAGAGTCTCAACGTCTTTGAATTTGAATTATGATTCTACGGCATGAGAAACTCAATAGTGTTTTCTGGCTGAATCCGCCACGAGAATCAAACTGAAGAGAATTTGACAGCCTCTATGTCCTAATATCATCCTTAATATACAATTCCACTCTATAAAGGAATAAACTAAAAAGGATTCTGCCAGCAACAGGCTATCGCTGTTAACGGTGTTCATTATTTTTGCCCGATCGCCATTCGTATATAGCTTTTTAATCATAATTTTCTTCAGATCATTGTAGAACATACAATTCAGAATCCCATTAGCTGAGACGCCGTTTGTGAGCAGAAACTTAGTGTGTCATTACATCAAAAACATTTACCCTCTACAGTGAGTTATATATGACAACAAAGGCAAGATCAATTGGAATTTATTTCATTAGAGAAGCTTAACACCAGCAAAATAATGGCACTGATCTTTCTTTGGGGACAGTATTGCTTTGCAGTTTTGCTTCATTAAATTAAAAATGCTATCAGGCTGGCTGTAAATTTTAGACTGTACAAACTGTAAAGGCCATTTGGAGGCCAGGAGAAAGACTCGTGAACATGTACACACACACACACACAAACAAACAAGCACATCAACAGACTAGGGGAAAGTTTAATGGGAAACTTGCACTTTAAGAAACTATAAGAAACAGAAAAAGAGTTAGCTCCATGAAAGTGAGTTGTTTTATTTCAAAAACTAAATTCCCCTTCTAAGAGTAAGGATAACATTGTCCAAATTTTGGCACAGAAGAGGTCCAACAGATTGGGTAAAAAGCAGAGATAGCCATGGAAGATGGCATCAAAAAAGTCACAATAGGTTGTGTGAGTGCATGAGCCAAACCATTTTAACATGTGTGACATATGTAACATACTTTAAAAAACTGATAGATGTTAGTTATGCATTCACTGAGGCCATCTTGATTTATTTTTTAACCTCCTGTGGATGCTCCTGGCCCAAGGTCCATTTTAGTGTGGCTTTTGTGACTCATCTATGAGTCCAGTCAGATTCATCAGGAAGTTTACAACCAGGAGAAGATAGTCCCTTTTCAAGAGGAAACTGGAGTTTCTTGTTTTTCCTTGAAAACGTTTCGCTTTTCATCCAAGAAGCATCTTCTTCAGAGCTGAAGAAGCTTCTTGGATGAGAAGTGAAATATCTTCAAGAAAAAAACAAAGTAAATCTGGTTGCCTTTTGAAAAAGCACCTTTGAGACAACCATGACCTGGATGACTGAGAATCTCCATAGACAGGAGATGATAGCTAGCTAGAGTGAGTCTGCAGAAGAATTAAACTTTAAAAAAAAATCAACCTTTTTTTGAAGAAACACTTGGTCATTTAGACGTGTAAACATGGAGACAGTCCGGTGCTCCATAAATTTATCTTTTCATATCATCTGACCTTGAGGCCTTCACCACATCTGAAGGCAGGAATTTTCAGAGTTAAACTCTGTTTTGGTGTAAAGTATTTTATTCTGTTGAAGGAAAAAACTTCATTAGGGTCCAGTCAAAGCCAGGAATAATCAAAACATGGAGATTGCTTTAGAAAGAAGGTTGTCGTTTATTGAAGAGCAGAGCCAGACAGAAAGATGGCTCTGGATAAACACTGACCAATGTAGTAGGGTGTGGTGGGTTTTTATACCTTCTTGGGCTTTTGTTTGGAGTTGTTCCTGTGGCATGAACTTTGACCTGAGTCTGAGTGTTCCTTTCTGGTATTCTGATGGTGGTGGGATTAATCCTATGATGTCCCAAAGGTCATATCCTGCTTCCCTGGGGCTGTGGCTGACGAGTGTTGGATTTTTTGGTGTGAGGGATTGTTGATTCTAGGGATCTTTGTCTTTCTAATCTCATCAGCTTCCTGCTTCCAATCTTTCTGACAAGATTATCACATATGCATTTCTGCAGACCTGGTTTCTGTTTGGGGCAGAGAGACTTGGGGGGGGGGGTGTCAGTTTCTGCCTTTAAAATCCTTTGGGGAAATATATTCTGCCTTTTTAATATTTCCCCAAAATATTTCTTTCTATGGATTCTTCCCACAATCCTGAATCTGTAAGTGTAAGGGACCACTCCAAATTGTCTCCTTAATCTTAGACTGCTTTATGATCTGAAGTCCTAAAAGTTGATTTTGAAGCTCGTGTCAGTTTTTAGAAGCACTGAGCTAAGATTGTCCTCCTTGTAACTTTGTCCTACTCTGTGGCCAGTCTCAGTAAGTAACTCACAAAACATAATACCACAGGGCTGGAGGTCTTCTAGTCCAATCCACTGCTCAAAACAAGAAACATTATACCATCCCACTCAAATGGTTGTCCAGTCTATTTTTGAAAAGCTCCAGTGAGGGAGCACCCTCACAAAGATTTGGGCTGCTTTTTGGTTCTTCTTGTCTATCGGCCACAATTTTGTTTCTATTCCTGTTTTTCTTTCGTTCGTTCATTGCTTTCATTCATTCATGTTTTCCACGTGGTGTAGTATTTTATCAGGATCTAGTGGGAGCGTGCTAGAAACAACTCCAAGGACTCTTTGTTGTTCTATTCCAGGGGTCTTCAAACTTGGCCCTTTTATAACTTGTGGACTTCAACTCCCAGAATTCCTCTGCCAGGCATGCTGGCTGATGAATTCTGGGAGTTGAAGTTCACAAGTCATAAAAGGGCCAAGTTTGAAGGCCACTGTTCTATTCCATGTCTATACTGCATATCAAAATAGAAGGTGAACCAGCAGATGGTTTATCAAGATAAGTACTATTTTCTTGAGCAGTTATGGTGGCCAGTTCTAGTAAAGGTTTAGCAGATTTATGTCTTATTGCTAATAATTCCCTCAGATCATCCAGCCCAGGGGTAGGCAACCTTGGCTCTTTTATGACTCATAGACTTCAACTCCCAGAATTCCTGAGCCAGCATGGCTCAGCTTGGAAACCTCTCCCTTTCCCCTCAGCAAGGCTGGCTCAGGAATTCTGGGAGTTGAAGTCCATGAGTCATAAAAGAGCCAAGGTTGCCTACCTCTGGCCTAGGCCTAGGCACTTTCTGACTCGTGGACTTCAACTCCCAGAATTCCTGAGCCAGCATGGGTCAGCTTGGAAACCTCTCCCTTTCCCCTCAGCGTGGCTGGCTCAGGAATTCTGGGAGTTGAAGTCCACGAGTCATAAAAGAGCCAAGGTTGCCTACCTCTGGCCTAGGCCTAGGCCGCTGTATGACTCGTGGACTTCAACTCCCAGAATTCCTGAGCCAGCATGGCTCAGCTTGGAAACCTCTCCCTTTCCCCTCAGCAAGGCTGGCTCAGGAATTCTGGGAGTTGAAGTCCACGAGTCATAAAAGAGCCAAGGTTGCCTACCCCTGAGATTCTAGCCTTTTTATAATACTCACTTGTACTCATGGAGTTAATCAAGTTTATCTCTAAGGGTTCTTCAGAAAACCGTAAAGAAGATACAGATGTTACTTGGATTGTCTCTCCTCAAGGACAGTGGTGATAGAATGTCATTGGAGTTCTCTACTCTTGTGTTACTACAATTAAATTTTAAAATCAAAGCACTCTCATTGCCAAGATAAGTTATTAATGAGCAAACTGCCTCTGTGTGAAACACATATAATGAGAAGAATTCAGTTTAAACATCATGCTGGCAATAGAATAATGTTTAAATGCTAGAAGAATTCTTTTGCAGTCCACCAATTTTTCTTCTTTAGCCTTTTTATCCCACCTTTATTACTTTATAAGTAATTCAATGTGATGAACATACCTAATACTCCTTTTTCTAGTTTAATGAAGAGAAGGACGAGGGAGGACATGATAGCAGCATTCCAATATCTCAGGGGCTGCCCCAAAGAAGAGGGAGTCAAGCTATTCTCCAAAGCACATGAAGGCAGGACAAGAAGCAACGGAGGAAACTAATCAAGGAGAGAAGCAACCTAGAACTAAGGGGAAACTTCCTGACAGTGAGAACAATTAAGCAGTGGAACAACCTGCCTCCAGAAGCAGTGAATGCTCCAACACTGGCAGTTTTTAAGAAGAGACTAGACAGCCATTTGTCTGAAATGATATAGGGTTTCCTGCCTGACCAGGCGGTTGGACTAGATGATCTCCAAAGTCCCTTCCAACTTTATTATTGATCATCGCACAGTCAGCCAGATGTTCAGACTGAATTTGGCATTTTGTCTACCTATCGTGTCCTTACCCAGGACCTGGCATAGGCAGATGTGGATGTTTGATGGTATTATAGATATCGTCGCAGGATGGAAGCAGTTCCTAGTAAGGCCGCCTTTTGCAATTGACTAATAGCGAATTTGTCAATGCCAATGGTGTTCAAGTGGTGCTCCAGTTGTTTTGGGATTGCACCCAAGGAGCCTATGACTATTGGTACTACCCTTGCTTGCTTTTGCCACAGTCTTTCTATTTCTATTTGTAGGTCTTTGTATTTTGTTATCTTCTCCAGTTCTTTCTCGTCTATTCTGCTGTCTCCAGGCACTGCCACGTCCACTATCCAGACTTTTTGGTTTTTTTTATCAACAATTGTTAAGTCCAGGGTGTTATGTTGCAGGTGCTTGTCTGTTGTTGTTGTTGTTGTTATTATTATTATTATTATTATTATTGTTGTTGTTGTTCTTGTTGTCGTTGTCGTTGTCGTTGTTGTATAAGGAGGGGTTGAGCATCCTCAGGCATAAAACTGTAACAATTTAAAAGTTGGAAGCTGTCTAGGTCTGTTCGTAAATCCTGTTCAAAGGGCTCTTATCTTTTAGAGAGGCTATCAGGAGGGTCAGGGATTTTTTTTATTGTTGTTATTTACCTCAAGTAGCTGTTTGCTTTTTTAGATATCTGCGAACTTTGAGTGTTTGTTAGGCTTGAGTGAAGTCTGGGAAGCCGGATTTCAGCACGGCCTTCCTTTCCCCCATCATAAAAATGGTAAAAATAGGGATTCCCCAGCAAAAAAAAGAAGAAGAAGAAGAAGAAGAAAAAGTAGAGATCTCCAGCAGAACAAGAATAACATTAAAATGAAATGAAAGCAAAGGAGCTAATGAAGCTTTGGCTTAACGGTTGCTATTTGAGATCATATTTCTGGTGCTCACCTTCAAGCTGCCTAGCTTGGTCCAGAGGTTAAGGCACCAGGCCTGAAGCCAGGAGATGGTGAGT